GGAAGGGAATGGTAGACTGAGGTTGCAAAGGGGCAGCTGGAGTGGGGTGGGAAGAACTTGTAAACAAACAGCCAGGGGCCCCTTTCGCCTTTTACTCTAGGATTCCGCACTCCGTGCTCCTGTGTTACTCGGATAAACTTAAATACATGAAAGGGTGAATCTAAGAGACATACCCAAGGACGATGCGGACTTTGTTGACACAGAATTCGGATGGAAAAGTCGGAGATGACCTCAAGGTTAGTGGCAAGTTGTTTTGTTAAGTAATCTCTACGCCCAATGTGGGGCTTGAACTCACGACCCAAGATCAAGAATCGCCGTCTCCACCAACTGAGCCAGCCAGCCAGGCGCCCCGAAAGCTTTTCTTTTCTTTTTTTTTTTTAAGCAACTGTGAGGGATTGGAGATTGGAATATCACAGGCTAGAGCTGTGGCGTGTTGACTAGTGAGAAGCGCGCATCTTCAAGGAAGAATAAAGGAAGAAGGCATCGATATTCTGCTGGATTCCCAACCCTGAGAAATAAGTGTAATCAGACTGAAGTAGCCGTACATATGAAACAGATGTGCATGTTGTTAGTGAGCTATCAGACAGGGGGACGGGATTTTCCGTTCTCCCCGGGCTCTCTGCCACCGCTTGCTGCTCATTAAATACTTTCCCAGAACCGCATTCCCACCAGTAAAATGGAATGTTTCTCCCTGATAAGGTCTTCGTGGAAAAAGAGTGATGATGTCACATTTACACAGTATTCCTGCAGAGATGGTTCGGTCCGTCAGCGAGTTAACAAAACCGTACCCCCGAAGGCTGGGACCAAGAGGCCCAGGGAAATAGAAAATCTCAGTCTCAAAATCATCACGATTCCCAGTATGTCCAGAGTGACGGGCTGGTGTGTGCGGAGCAGCGTGCAAAGCCCCCGAGTTAACAAAGAGTTCCCAGGACACAACAGGAAGCGGCAGAAGAATGAAAGTAGTAGCAAGACTCCCAGGATGGCAGAGTCACCCTGGGGGTGCTGACCCTGTGGGGAAGAAAGAGGTCACGTGCATGGGAGAGGCCCAGGGACAGATGGAAGGGAAGGGTAGGAGGTGGCAGACTTCTTCCCCACTCCTGACATTTCCTTCTTGGGAAGGAAGCTTCATTATCCGAGCTTCTAGAACTCTCTTCGCCCCAGTGCTCCTCCTGCCCTGGTGGGGGAGGGTATGAGCAGTGACTTACTGTCCATTTTGGGAAGAACATGCGGGCATCCTTGACTCAGACCCACACCTTGTCTCTTTCGTGGTCGAGTAGAAATTCTCCCCTCCATGCTTTTATTCCCCTTCTGGACCCTTCTGTGAGGGGAGGTTTGTCTCCACCAGGTGTTTCTTAGGACTGGGTGAGTAAGTCTGCCTAAATTTTCGGTTCAGTCTTAGCCGGTTCAGTTGGTGAAAGACTGGCCTCTTGCCGCTAATAAATAGGTGACATGTCACCTTCCATATTTACTTTTGACTTATTTTTTGACTTATACAAAACCTAAGCAGGAAATAAGAGTGCTACTTTTGGGGAGTCCCCTTGAAGCCTGTGGTATTCATTGCTTCATAACAAATTACCCTCCATGTAATGACATAAAATGATAAATATGCATTTTTTAAAAGATTTTATTTATTTATTCGACAGAGAGAGACACAGCGAGAGAGGGAACACAAGCAGGGGGAGTGGGAGAGAGAGAAGCAGGCTTCCCACGGAGCGGGGAGCCCGATGCGGGGCTCGATCCCAGGACCCTGGGATCATGACCTGAGCCGAAGGCAGACGCCTAAAGACTGAGCCACCCAGGCGCCCCAAAATGATAAATATGTATTATCTCACACAGTTTCTCAGGAGGCGGCTTAGCTGGGTGGTTATGAGGCTGTAGGTCAGGGTGCCATCATCCAAAGCTTGATCTGGGCTGGGGCATCATCAGCTTCCCACATGGGAGCTGGCAGGAGGCCTCAGTTTCCCTCCCCCCAGCCACAGGCCTCTGCACAGGGTCACCTGAGTGTTCTCTTGACAGCGCAGCTGCTTCTCCTGAGCAACAGTCCAAGTGAAAAAGGGGAGAAAGTCACAGTGCCTTTATGACCTAGTTCCCAAAGTAGCACATCCACACTTTCAAGTTGCTGACAGGCTGGCCCAGAAGGGGAACGAGGCCCCATTTCTTCGGGAGAGTGTCAAAGAACTTGTGGATCTTTCTTAAAACCACAGAACCCTCAACAAAGGAAAAGTAACTCGGCTCTCTCACATAAGAAGCCAGTCAAGAGTTGGAGGTGGAGAAGTCATTCATTCAAGCAGCTTTTATTGAAAACCCACTAACTGCTAGGCTCCCTGCCAAATGTTGTGTGTAAAGGCAGAAATAACACAAGATACTTTCACTTCAGATCTGGCTGGAAGAGCACACATTCTTGGGTCCCTCCTTTAACCACGTCCCTCCCCTAGAGGAGACGCATCCACGGCCAAAGGAAGTACCTGCCTAGCGCCCTTGACCCTCTTCTAGACTGTGCTCTGAGCACACAAGACCCCAGAATTCTCTTCCCTAATGGCTCAAGTCTCTCCCTGGGTCGACGCAGGCCTCATCCTCAGGTTCATCTCTCCACCACTATATGCACCCCTGGGCTATCTGTGGACTTCTGGGCAAAGAGTGGCCATGCAGACTGGGGTGTCCACACACTTGGAATGGGCCAGAGGCAGGAATAGGAAGAGAGGGAGAATGAGCTGGGAGGGAGATGAACAGCTCAGTATGTTGTTAGATGCATGGAGATCAAGGTTCCCACAGCACATCTTGTCTTTTCTTCCAAACTTGCCAGTGCCCTTGTCTGTAATAGGGCAAGTCTGCCTCAGCCTAGGTGAGGGACCTGGAGTCCTTCACCGCCACGCAGTGTGGTGCCACTTCTGGGTCCAGGCCTCCCTCTAGTGGCCAGTCTGGGGACAACAGCCAGAGGCTCCTGGCCACTCTACAAAACGGACACCTCTTCCAGACCCTACTTTTCAGAACATATATCTGATTCTGTTATTCTTTGCTTAGAAACCTCAAAAACACAGCCAACTCTCTCATGCCTCCCTGCCCACACACCCTGTGTCTTCAAGGGAAAGATAAAGCCCAAGGCCATTAGTCTGGTTTACAAGGGCTTTCTCAAGTGGAAGCCAGCCTACATTTCTAGGGCCACTGAGAGTCTCTCTCTGTCTCTCTGTCTCTCTCTCACATACACACACACGCACATGCACACACACCACCTTCAACAACCCACCATACATTTCTGTGCCTCATTGCTTTTGCTGGCAATAAACTGCCCACCTTTGCCCGCCAAACAAACTCTTATTCCTCCATGAAGATCCACTTCCTGCCTCTGTGGCTTCCTTGGCCCCCTGTGGGAGAATCCTGGCCCCTCACAGGGGTCCCCTGAGCACTTGTGTACAGAACAATCGCTAACACAGGTCACTTAACGCCAGTCCCTGTGCTAAGGGTTCCAGAGACATTGTCTCTTTAATCCTCACGATAACCCTAAAAACCAGGCGCTGTTACCATCCCCGTTTCACAGATGAGGAAACTGAGAGAACAGGGGTCAGGTCGTGTGCCCAGAGTCACACGGACAGCAAGTGAAAGAGGCCTGTGGTCACAAGTGCTCTCTCCACCTCCAAGCCACCTCCTCAACCGCAGCTCATAGCCAGACAGACGTCCTTGTTTCCAGCCTCCGAGCTCCTCCTCCCAAGAGAAGCCTGTTCTCTGAATCCCCAGCGTGCAGCACGAAGACCCCTGGGCCTAGAAAGCGCTCAAGTGATTACCCGAACTGAGCGGCCGACAGGAAGGGTTGGCTTTGCCTGTTACACTTTTTCTCAGTAAAACTCCCATCTAAGGCTCAAAATCTTGTTCTGGACTCAGAGCCAGTGACACATGGAGGGCAGAAGCCAGGGGCCGAGATCGCAGGGTAAACATTCACTGAGGATAAAAAATAGCGTCTGACTTGGGGCTGATTGCCCAAACAACGGATCGTAATTCCCCCATCTCTCAATTAATTCACCCCAGCCCGGCCAGCGCCCCCAGGGTTTGCCTGCCTGCTAACCAGACTTCCCTCCTCCCTCCATCCTTTCTCCCGGCCTTCCCGCCTGCCCTCTCTACTCTCTGTTCTCTCATCCAGCAACCAGCATTAAATAGCCACTTTTTCCTCCACCTGCAGTGCTCCGGCTACTAGGCTGCATCCGTTTCTTCTCTTCTTTCTCCAAAATGGAAATAAAGGACCTTATTTTCTCCCTGATTATGAAAGTAATAATCTTGTTGTAAAAAAAAAAAATACAAATGCACAAATATTTAAAGTAGAGAGTAAAAGTTGCCACCCATCCCACTACAAGATAACCATTGTTTTCAATTGGTTTATAGCATTCCATATTGGCGTGTGTGTGTGTGTGTGTGTGCATTTCATTTTAATCTGAATCATAAGTGAAGACTTCTCTCTCACGGTAATTTTATTCCAGCAATTCTAGGTTGAAATGATAATGCTGTTGCAAGTCCTGGTCAAGAACCATCTAGATTCACTCCCAACAGAATTCTCTAACTTCAGTTGGAGAAGACTAAGAATAGGGGATATTAGAACCTTTCATTCTAGAAGATTCCTGGGGTCCTCATACCTGGCATAAAAGGTCAACATATAAAGTGGCCTTTACTGGGGCGCCTGGGTGGCTCAGTCGGTTGAGTGTCCGACTCTTTGATCTCAGGGCCCTGAGATTGAGCCCTGCGTAGGGCTCTGTGCTCGGTGGGGAGTCTGCTTGAGATTCTCTCTCTCTCCTTCTTCCCTTCCCTCCACCCCACCGGCTCTCTCTCTAAAATAAATAAATTTTTAAAAAATTAATAAATAGGGGCACCTGGGTGGCTCAGTCCTTAAGCGCCTGCCTTCGGCTCAGGTCATGATCCCAGGGTCCTGGGATGGAGCCCCGCATCGGGCTCCCTGCTCTACAGGGAGCCTGCTTCTCCCTCTCCCACTCCCCCTACTTGTGTTCCTGCTCTCACTATCTCTGTCTGTCAAATACATAAATAAAATCTTTAAAAAAATAAATAAAGTGGCTTTTACTAAGCCAAAGGAAGTCTTCCTACACTATTTCCTCAGAGCAGGCTCCTACTTGCTCACAGAGCAGACTTACAACCCCAAACACAGCCTGCGAAGGTGTTTATTTGGCCTACACCGTATTTCACAATTCTGAATTACTGCCAATATATTTTTTTTAAGATTTAATTTATTTATTTGACAGAGAGAAACCCAGCAAGAGAGGGAACACAAGCAGGGAGAGTGGGAGAGGGAGAAGCCGGCTTCCCGCGAAGCAGGGAGCCCTATTTGGGACTCCATCCCAGAACCCCAGGATCATGACCCGAGCCGAAGGCAGACGCTTAACGACTGAGCCACCCAGGCGCCCCTACTGCCAATATTTAAAGCCCGCAGATTTCCCATATAAATTTGATTTGCAACTTTAAAAAAAAGGGTTTTTTCTCTAGAGGAACAACTGGCCAGCGCCGAACGGTAGCTGTTTCCTTTAAACGTGCAGGCAGCCTCTCTGCTCTATCGTCTCCTCTCCTTCCACAGCCTGCCAGCAAGGAGTTAGAGGGCCAGTGCTCTTTCTTATCCTTTTGACCCCCTCAGTTATCCGCCTGGCCACTGCAGGAATTGGAATTTCCAAGACCTCTCTGTGTCTTTATTTGGATGCCATGACACGATAACAACCACGCTTCGGAGCAGTCCTTGGGGTGGATTTTCCTGCCGTGCCTATGAGTGTATTCGAACGCCTTGTCAATGGGACACTGATTAGGAAGACTAGAGTTCGGCACCGGTTCTTATTGAAAATTCCAGGCCGGGGCAAGTCTGCTCACGTGAAATTATCCAAGTGGGTGCCCCCTCGGAACGCATGCCCTCTGCGCTGTACTGAATGCTGAGCAAAGGTCGGCCGTATCTCCTAGAGACGTGCTTTAATCACGGGGCTAAGAATCTGTTGGGCAATAAAAAAAAAGTGAATGTTTAACCCATCATATGGTGAGAGTGACAAAATGGAGATGCTTTACTGCTTGGTTTCAGATGGATGCTTCTAGTCTCACTTTTATATTTATGAGCAGTGATTAGCTCAGGGCTTAGTGATTCAACTTTGAAACAAATTTTCTCATTTTTATTTCTAGCTTGGGGACTCATGTAATTAGAGAGCTTGAGATTGCCAGGTGAGATCTTATCATGTCTAAGGATTTTTCTGTTAATCCAGATTTCTGCAGTGTTTTGCTGTGATAGATGGTATTGTTGCTGACGAGGATTCACGGCTTCCCCTTGGATGGGATTATATTTCCTTGCTTTATTGACCTCAGGCTTGACTATGTGATTTGTTTGGGCCAATAAAATGCGAGTGGAAGTAATTTATGCCACCTCAGAGACAGAGTTCTAAAAGCCAGGCGATGTTCCCCGAGGTTCTTTCTTCTCCCGGCCACCGTGAGGATGGCCACGCACCGGACAGAAGGCAGCACATACAGGCTGCCGCTTGCTAGACAGAGACAGGGAGAAATAAGCCTTTGTTAAGCGCCGCTGACATACTGGGGTCATCGGTCATAGCAGCATAACCTAACCTATCCTGGGGCGCCTGGGTGGCTCAGTCCATGAAGTGTTTGCCTTTGGTTCAGGTCCTGATCTCAGGCTCCTGGGATTGAGCCCCTCATTGGGATCCCTGCTCACCAGGGTGTCTACTTCTCCCGCCTCCCTCTGCCCTTCCCCACTGCTTGTGCTTGCTCTCTCTCTCGCTCTCTCAAATAAATAAATAAAATCCTGAAAACAAAAACAAAAACCTAACCTATCCTGACCAAGACATGTGTAAACAAACCAAAAATGCTAACTCTGCTGCTGAGGCTGATAGCACAATAGATGGCAATAATCTCAACTTTTTCTATGTATCAAAATGATAGATATTTTCTCACTGATTGAGAAGTAAATGCCCTAAATTTAAACTTATAAAATAATTATATACTAATAAAATGCTCTGTCTATATGTGCTACATAAAAGTATATATATATATGTAGATAGATAGATAGATATAAATAAAATCTGGTAACCCCTTTCTTAAATCTTTTTTTTTTTTAGATTTTATTTATTTATTTGAGAGAGACAGAGAAAGTGAGAGAGAGAGAGAGCACGAGCAGGGTGAGCCGCAGAGGGAGAAGCAGATTCCCTGCTGAGCAAGGAGCCTGACGTGGGGCTCAGTCCCAGAACCCTGGGATCACGACCTAAGCTGAAGGCAGACGCTTAACCGACTAACCCACCCAGATGCCCTGGTAACCCCTTTCTAACAGACATATTTTTTCTTGAGATAGATCAATGGTTTCTTTTTTTTAATCATTTTTTTAAAGTTTATTTATTTAAATAATCTCTACACCCAATGTAGGGCTTGAACTCACAACCCCGAAATTAAGTCACACGCTCCTCCAACTGAGCCAGCCAGGCCAGGTGCCCCATGATAGATCAATGGTTTCAATCTGGAAGGCACTCTGTGTCCTTAAAGTGGTTGTGCATATCTTGGCTCAAATTCATTATGAGGGAAATATTTTTAATTTATTTTATTTATATATATATAAAATATATATATATAAAATATTTTATTTATATATATATAAAACACCCAAATCTATTTTCCTCCTTCCCCTGCTCTCTCTCAAAGTGGGACTGACTCCTACGCACTGCATTTCCCAGGACTTTCTGAGTCAACTGGCTTCCTGCTCAGTTTGACTGAAGACGGGGGACAAGAAGGCACGAGAAAAGGAAAAGTCAGGCTCTTTCCCCCTTCTCTCTCTGCCCTGGGCAGCATCTTCGGCAACTGCTGCACCTTTTCTATGCCTTTGGCTCCTGCCGGTCAGATCCAACACAGTTCTATCTGAAACCACCTGATCCCATCCCTGGGCTCTGTAACACCACCTCCATTCTTTACCTGTTATGGACTGAATGTTTGGTTCACCCCACCCCAAATTCATATGCTGAAGCCCTAACCCTCGGTGTGACTGTGTTTGCAGATAGGGCCTTTATGGAGGTAATTAAGGTTAAACAAGACCATCAGGATGAGGTGCTGATCCAATGGCATTAGTACCCTAATAAGAAGAGACACTGGAGAGCTTGCTGTCACTCTTCACTGAGACACAAAGAAGAGATCATGTAAGCACACAGAGAGGGGGCAGCCACCTACAAGCCAAGAGGAGAGGCCTCAGGATGAATTCTGCCTTGCCAGCACCTTGATCTTGGACTTCCCAAGATCTTCCCCAGAACTCTAAGAAAGAAATTCCTCTTGTTTAAGTCACCCAGTCTGTGGTATTTTGTTATGGTGGCCTGAATAGACTAAGACACCTTTCCAGCTTAGGAGTGCTGGTAGTATTCTGCTTTTGCTAATTCTGGGCTGTCTTATTGTCTCCCACAGTCTTCTCAGCTTTTCTATCACCAATTCTCTGCATCCCACTCCCTTCTGTTTCAAGTACTCAGGGTGGTTTCCCTTCTCCCGATCAGACCCTGAATGATTCACTATGTCATTCTCAGGGGGCATTACATGGACTAGGATGTACCCAACTCCCATCACTGGCAATACATTGTGCTGCTTAAGAAATACACCATAGGGGCACCTGGGTGGCTCAGTTGGTTGGGTGTCTGACTTGATTTCCACTCAGGTCATGATTTCAGGGTCAGAGGATCAAGCCCCGTGCTCAGTGGGGAGTCAGCCTCTCTTCTTCTCCCTCTGCCCCTCCCCCCCACTTGTACACTTGCTCTCTCTCTAAAATAAATAAATCTTAAAAAAAATACACTATAAAATTAGGCTGATCTAAGTTTGGATCCTGACCCCACCCACTTCCTTGTTCAGTCTCCATAGGGGGACATTAATCTCACTAAGTCTTAGTTTCCTCATCTGCAAAATGGAGACGGGCACCTGGGTGACTCAGTCGGTTAAGCCCCTTCGGCTCAGTCATGGTCCTGGGGTCCTGGGCTCCCTGCTCAGCAGGGAGTCTGCTTCTCTCTCTCCCTCTGTCCCTCCCCTTGCTCATGTGCATGCACTCTCTCCCTCTCTCTCTCAAAGAAATGAAATCTTTAAAAGATATATACTAAAGTCTATCCCATAGAAGAAATAATGTTTGAAAGGTATTTAGCATAGTGCCTGGTACAGAAAAAGTGTTCAATAAAAGCTAATAGAAGAGGAGGAAGGACAGAGCCTGGCGAGAAGCTGACATTGTCCACCATCATTACCAGAGTGTTCTTACCATTCATGGTGTGTAGACAGTCTTCGAACAGCACTGTGAGCCTCTTGTGCAGCATCCTAGGAACTTGTTTATAAACCCTACAGTACCCAGAAGAGACCATAGGAGAGTCTCAAAAAGTCAGGTTGTCCCTGATTTCATAATTACCTAGCTTAGATTAGACCTGCTCTCTTTCCTGTACTGCCTACAGCTGGCCGTGAACTTGCCCTTGCTTTCTAGGCCTTTAATCAAAGGACCCCAGTATCTGCAGTCCTCTCTCCCCTCACCACTCACTGTCACATAATCCACCCAGATCCCAGCATCTAAGGCTTTCTAAAGTAGTTGAAAACCTAAGGAACCCCTGAGAATTCCAGACCTGAACTAAGCAAACTTTTTCTGTAAAGGGCCAGATGGTAAATATTTCAGGCTTTGTGGGCCACTTATAGTTTGCGTACTAACTACTCAGTTCTACCTTTGTAGTGTTGAAAGCAGCAGTAAGTGAATGGGCATGGCTGTGTACCAACAAAACTTTATTTGTGGACACTGACATATGAATTTCATATAATCACAAGTCACAAAATAATATTCTTCTTGATTTTTTAACCATTTAAAAGTGTAAAAAAATTCTTTGACCTCAAGTTGTATAAAAATAGGCAACAAGTAGAATCTGAACTGCAAGCCATCATTTTCTCTTGGCTTTTACTCAAATTCCTGTGGTTTTTTAGTTGTTGTTGCCCTCTTTCTTTCCTTCTTCGCTGTGTGGCACTAAGTAAGTCACTTAGCCTCTCTGGGCTTCAGTACTGTTTTTTAAATTAAACCATTTACTTATTTTTTGTTTCATTAAGATATAATTGACATACAACACTATAAGTTTAAGATGTACAGCATAATGACTTGACATACATATATTATGAAAAGATTACCACAATAATTTTAGTTATCATCCATCTGGGCCTCAGTTCTTTACCAGTAACCCTGGAGTAGCAGCAGATGAATGTTTTTCTTTCTTTCTTTCTTTCTTTTTTTTTTTTAAGTAGGATCCCATTGTGGGGCTCGAACTCATGACCCGGAGATCAAGAGTCCCACGCTTTATAGACAGAACCCACCAGGCACCGGATGAATGATTTTGAAAACCAACTCTTCACTGAGGATCCGTCAGAAGAGCAACTATTGGTTTTGTTGTTGTTGTTAATCTCTGTGATTTGTTTAGACATCCAGGTGAAAATACACTTAAAAATATTCCCCTCCTACGAATCAGTCTGGGAAATTACTAATTGGTCCAGTGGTTCCAAACCTTTTTTCCTGCCTCCTTAGTCTACCCACACAAAACAAACCCATCAGTAACATTTCGGAGGGCAGAGCCAAAAACGGTGTAAAGGTTACTCTTCTCCGGGAGTACCCCCTTCTTAGACAACCAACACATCGCTTATGTCTTGGATCCTTTCTTCTGGTGACAAAGTTCCACGCACTGACTCATGGAAGAAATATTTGCTGAGCACCTCCTCTGTGCGGAGCACTGCACTGGATGACCCGTAGTGGACCAAGCACGCCCGATCCCTCCCGGAGACCAAGTGGAAAGTGCGTGCGCAGAGGCCCAGGGCCGTGCTGACAAACTATGCAGGAATGCAGAGAAAGAGGCGGGGAGGAAAAGGGGTTGGAGCCAAATCGACCCCAGCCTCTGTGTTCCCAGAATTGTCCACCGTGACTCCCCAGCCCGCGCTATCTCGCCGCCCCGACTTCCTTCCGGCGCTTTCCCGGAACACGTCCTTCAGCTTCCCCCGGGCCAGCGCCTGCGCCTGCGCCTGCGCCTGCGCACGCCTTCCGCCCCGCCCCGGCCTGGGCGCACCCGGCAGAGGGGGAGGGGCTCGGCGGCCACCCCGCGCCCCACGACGCACCCCGCCTCCCGCCCCGCCCGCGCATCCTTCTCGGAATCGCTCTGTGCCCCCCAGTCCCCCCCTCCCAGCTGTGGCGTTTATCTGGGCGGCCACGTGGGAAGCCGGGGACCCTGGGGGCAGCGTTCCGGCCTCCACGCCGCCGTGTTCTCGTCTCCGTGGGGAAACAGCATTAAGGCTGACCCCAATCTGTTGCAGTGACCTTGTCTCGACAGAAACGTTTGCTGCCAGCGACTGCCAGGGAACGCACGCAAACACACGTCCTGGGCGGGGGGGTGGGGAACTTCGGCCTAAAATCTGCATAAGTCCTTGGCTTTCCCTCTTGGGGGGCGGGGCCGGGGAGGTTCGAGGCGCGTCCAGTCCTACCCTGTTTTCTCGGTGACAGCTTGTTCCTTCTCCAGGGCCACTCCTTTCCTTCCTTCTTATTTCCCGGGCCACCTCTCTCCTTCACTCCTCATTCAAGGAAAGTCTTTAGGGGATTGAATTTTGACTCATGAGGAATTTCTCAGCTACACCCCGGAGATAGCTCATCCCTCTTCCAGCTTTTCCACTTGCTGCCAGAATCTTTTCATCTCTCAGGCCCCTTCCCGCCCACTCTCTTAACATACTTAACCTGGCTTTTATCTCCCTTCCTTTTTTGCTCAGCCGATAAGGTAGATAGTTAGGGGTATCTTTTAGCCCATGCCTCCCCTTTCTCTGGGAATCTCAAACACACATGGAGGGGCCCTTGGTAGCCGTGTTCCAGCGTGTGACTTTGCCCCTAGGGTGCCAGGGAAATACAGGACCCACAACGGGGTCAAGCCTCCCCTCTCTTCTAGACTTTGGAATTGAGCTTGAGATGCTGTTGCAGCCTGAGCTGGTCTCTTAGATGCAGGAAATGCAGACGTGGAAGGCTTTGCTGTGTGAATGTTGCATCAGTGAAAACTGGTCTGTAGAAACAATGAAGAAAGACACACGTTCTCAGAGAGGAGGGTGGAAGAGAGTTAACTGCCTAGGAGTGTGACAACTTTCCAGTTCCTGCTTCCTGTTGGAGAGCAGCTGCCCTTGGCTTCCTTGGTATTCACTATGAGTGTGGTGTAAGTCTGACACTACGAGTGTGATGTTAAGTCTGTAGGAGTTTGGATGTATTTGACTGCAGGTAAGAGATAACCTAAGTGACCATGGCTTGAGCCATTAGGACACATTGTTTCCTTAAGAAGTCTGAAGGCAGGCAGAGCTAGGGTGTGTTCTGTTCAGCTATATCATCAAGGACCCCGACTCCTTCATCTTTTGGCTATGCCATTCAGCATGTCGACTTTGCATTCTGTGGCTTGTTTCTTCATGGTCTCGATATGGCTTCCATGGCTCCAGATGTCATGTCCTCACATCATTGCATCAAGTAAGAAGGAAGGGAGCAGATGGAAAGAGGCTTAGTTTTTGTTAATGAAAAAAATCCCTCCTTCTTAGAGTCTCCATAGAAGTTCTTATATCTTATTGGCTAGAACTGTTTCATATATTTACTCTACCTGCAACACAGGCTGGAAACGTGAGTGCCTGGCAAGGAAAAGGGAATTGGATTTCCATGATTATGATTCATAGAGCTGGCAGGACATCTGTTTCTCTGAGATCAAGGAATTTCCTTTCTGTACCTGAACAAAATTAGCAGGGAAAAGGGGGGAAAGGATTTGGTGTTGCTTTATTTTTTTTTTTTAATTTAAGTTTTTTATTTATTTAAGTAACCTCTACACCTAACATAGGGCTCCAACTCATGACCCCAACCAAGATCAAGAGTCACACACTCTTCCAACTGAGCCAGGTGGGTGCCCCTGGGTGTTGCTTTAAAACAAAGACTGTTGGCAACACCTTTACAAAACGTCCTGTTCCATTTAAGCTAATTTGATTGTGTCTGTTATTTGTAACCAAAAGGATCTTGACTACTGTAAAAAGGAATGTCTCCTCATTTCTCTGGTTTACCTAATCACTCTTGGACTCCTGCCCCATCCTTTACCCCTTCCCAGGGAGGTGGAGTCAGGTACCTGGTTGGCGTGGAATAGATTTCTCCACTGGATGGGAGGGATTTATCAATGGTCCGGCTTGGAGGGTCTGGTCTCTTTCTTTCTTTTTCCACTGGGACCAGTGGGAGTGAATAAAATGCATACACGTTGCAGACTCAAACTTTCCCTTAGGTGGGTTGCCCAAGGTCTAGACTGAAGGTTAGGAGTTTGCTGTCACACTCAAGCCACATGCTCCCAGACCCCTTCTAACAGTAATAAAGGTGATGTCAGGTGACATCTTTGTCAGTTACATAATTGTAGGACCTAGTACAAAATCGGAAGTACCAAGAATTGCAAGAAAGTACCAAGAATTGCAAGATAGTGATGGCAAAGCATTAACCCAAGTGCAACTCACATGGGCCCCAAGCCCACCAATCCAACCCTGCACTTTCACCCTTCTGTCTTATTTCTCAGTTTGTTCAGAACTTAAATAAGAATAAGAGTATTATTTATCGGGCCCCTTCGAATCCCACCAATACCTAATATAAATTTTTAGAAGCTACCCCTTTCCTTCCCTTGTCCATCCTCCAGTGTGTTCACGCACATGCCTGCCTACACAGTTCTCCAACTCATGTCAACACAGCTTCCAATCACCCCTATAGTTTCAGATCTTCATCAAAATTACAGAAATGAATATACAGAATATTGGCTTTGGCATATACAGACTTGGGTTCTGATTTTCCCTCCACTGTTCACTAGCATAAGGGATTTGAGTCAGTTACTGATCCTCCAAAGAGATCCAGTTTCCTCATTTGCAAGGTGAGGCCAATGACAATGTATGTTAGGTTCTTGGCACACTAGAGAAAGTGAATAGTTTTTGAAGGAATATCATAGTCATATCTATTCATCTCTTCCCTCTTTCCTTCTTTCCTTCCTTCCTTTTATTAAACTGTCATCAAGTGCTCCATTGGCCAGGCACTGAGGTAGGTGTTGAAATTGCACGATTTATAAAACACAATCCCTTCCCCTTCAATGAAGAGGACATTATTCCTGTGAGAGTTTTTTTTTTTTTTTTAAATAAAGTGTCTTGGTTTGTTTGGTTTTTTTAAGATTTTATTTATTTATTTGACAGAGAGAGAGAGTGCGCATAAGCAGGCAGAGGGGCAGGCGGAGGGGCAGGCCGAGGGAGAGGGAGAAGTAGGCTTCCCGCTGAGCAGTGAGCCCCGACTCGGGGCTCAATCCCAGGATCCTGGGATCATGACCTGAGCTGAAGGCAGATGCCTAACCGACTGAGCCACCCAGGCACTCCATTAGGTTTTGTTTTTTAAAGCTTTATTGAGATGTAATTTATATACCTTAAACTTCAACACCTATAGTATACAATGCAGTGGTTTTAGTATTTACAGACTTGCACAACCATTACCATCATTTAATTTTAGAACATCTTCATGGTCCCAAATAGAAACCTTGCATCCATCAGTATTCAGTCCCAATCCCACCTTCCTCCCCTCACCCTCCCCCCACCCCATGCCCCAGCCTAAGGCAATCACTAATTTATTTTCTGTCTCTGATTTGCCTGTTCTGGACCAATATGTAGTTTTTTTATCTGGCTTTTCTCACTTAGCATAATGTTTTCAAGTTTCATGTATGTTGCAGCATGTGTATTTCATTCCTTTTTATTCCATTGTATGGATAGATGACCCTTTGTTTATCCATTCATCAGATGATATGTACATTTGAGTTGTTTCTACATTTTAGATATTATGCATAATGCTGCTATGAAGATTTGAATACAAGTTTTTATGTTGGCATATGTTTTCATCTCTCCTGGGTAGGTCCCTAGAGGAAAGGAATTGTATAATCATATACTAACTCTATATTTAACATTTTGAAGACCTGCCAAATTGTTTTACAAAGCTACTGCACCATTCTCCATTCCCACCAGCAATGTATGAGGATTCCAATTCCTCCACATCCTCACTAACATTTGTTGTGTGGCTTTTAATTTTACCTATCCTAGTGGGTATGACCTGGTATCTCATTGTGGTTTTGACTGACATTTCCTAAATGACAAATGAAGTTGAGTGTGTTTCCATTAGCTTACTAGTCATTTGCTTTTCTTTCTTTCTTCTTTTTTTTTTTTCTTTTTCTTTTGATCCCTTTGTTTTCTTGGTTCTGGAATTTTTTTTATTAGGTGCTTTGGATAAATGTCTATTCAAGTCCTTCGCCCATTTGAAAATAGGGTGCTTTTTTTTAGTTGTCTTTTTATTATTAAGTTATGAGAGTTCTTTACATATTTGATACAAGTCTCTTATCAGATATATGATTTGCAAATAAATATTTTCCATTCTATGGGTTGTTTTTTTACTTTAATTTTTTTTTTTTTTAAGTAGGCTCCACACCCAGCATGGAGCCCAACATGGGGCTTGAACTCACAACACTGGGATCAAGACCTGAGCTGAGATCAAGAGTCAGACATTTAACTGACTGGACCACCCAGGTACCCTGTTTTTTCACTTTCTTAATGGTGTCCTTCAGAGAACAAAAGTTCTTAAATTTGATGAAATCCAATGTATATATTTTTACTTTGGTTGCTTATGCTTTTGGTGTCGTATCTAAAACCATTGCCTAATCCATGGATGTGAAGATTTATACCTATATTTTCTTCTAAGAATTTTATAGTATTAGTGCTTACTTTT